AAAAGAGCCACCTGTGGCTCCTGTGTGTTTCACGGGGGGAGACTTAGAGGGCTCCTGCAGCTCTTGTATATTTCAAAGGGAGAGGAGCAGCAGTCCAGTGTTTCCCGCTTGAGCCAGTTCCCTGCTGCCCTCTGCCTCTCCCCCCATGGAGACAGTGCTGGGGGGAACCAGATATTAAGCTGGCTCCCCCCAGCACTGCCTCCTGCTTTCCCCTCCTCTTGCTGCCTGTCGTAGAGTGTCGGGGGTCCTTGAACCTGCACCTCCATCCGCAGCCAGATGTGACTGTCAGCCAGCAGGTAGAACAGAAGGTTTTATTGGCTCACAGGGACGCGGCGTAGCATAGGATTGATGTGAACACAGGCCCTGAGAGCAGGCAGCATTATTCCTCTTGTGGGGAAGGAGCTACCGGACCCTTCATCCCCCTTTTCCTGCTTCATCTCTCATCCTAGCCCAGCTGAGACTGACTGATAATGGAGCAAGTAATTAAGGAAATCATCTGCAAACACTTGGATAGGGAACAGCCAGCATTGATTTATAAAGAACAAATCATGTCAAACCAATCTGATGGCTTTCTTTGTTAGGATAACGAGTCTTGTGGATAAGGGAGAAGCGGTAGACATGGTATATCTAGATTTTAGTAAGGCATTTGATACGGTCTCGCATGATATTCTTACCAATAAACTAGGCAAATACAACTTAGATGGGGCTACTATAAGGTGGGTGCATAACTGGCTGCATAACTGTTCTCAGTGTGTAGTTATTAACAGTTCACAATCCTGCTGGAAAGGTATAACAAGTGGGATTCTTCAGGGGTCGGTTTTGGGACCAATTCTGTTCAATATCTTCATCAACAATTTAAATATCGGCATAGAGAATATGCTTATTAAGTTTGCAGATGATACCAAGTTGGGAGGAGTTGCAACTACTTTGGAGGACAGTGTCATAATTCAAAATGATCTGGACAAATTGGAGAAATGGTCATGAGGCGAGGCAGCAAGGGGGGAAGCAACTAGTTGAGTTGCTTCTACATAAAAACTAGTTATGTGAAGTTCCTACTCCGCTTAGGAAGGAACAATCAGTTTCACACTTACAGAACGGGAAGTAACTGTCTAGGAAGGAGTACTGCAGAAAAGGATCTAGGGATCATAGTGCACCAGAAGCTAAATATGATTCAACTGTGTGACATTGTGGCAAGAAAAGCAAATATGATTGTGGGATGCATTAACAGGAGTGTTGTGAGCAAGACATGAGAAGTAATTCTTCTGCTGTACTCTGCACTGATTAGGCCTCAGTTGGAGTATTGTCTCTCTTTTTGGCCACCACATTTAAAGAAAGACTTGGAGAAATTGGAGAAAATCCAGATGAGCAACACAAATGATTAAAGGTCTAGAAAACATGATCTATGAGGGAAGACTGAAAGAACTGAAAAAACTTAAAACACAATGAATAGTCTAGCAGCACCTTAAAGACTATCAAAACATGTAGATGGTATCGTGCTTTTGTGGGTACAACTCACTTCAGTTTTTTTTAGTTTAGAAAAGGGAAGATGGAGAGGGGACATGATGTGTTACAAGGAGGAGGGAGAAAAATTGTTCTCATTGACCTCTGATGATGGGACAAGAAGGAATGGGTACAAATTGCAGCAAGGCAGGCTTAGGTTGGACATTAGGAGAAAATTCCTAACTGTCAGGGTGATTAAGCACTGGAATAAATTGCCTAGGGAGGTTGTGGAATCTCCATCTCTGGAGATATTTGAGAGCAGGTTAGATAAATGTCTATCAGGGATGCTCTAGACAGTACTGGGTCTTGCCATGAGGGGAAGGGACTGGATTCGATGACCTCTCGAGGTCCCTTCCAGTCCTAGTAATCTCTGATTCTCCCTCAGCTTGGTGCAGCTCTTCCTATCCTGTCTCCCTTCCGGGCCAGGAGTTGTTATCTCTTGTCTCTGGCCCAATACACATCTAGAGTGAGTCCCCCCCCCCCCCCCATGCAGAGTGCTACAGGGAAGGGAAAACTGAGATACATGTACACACACACTACAGCCAAGAGTGAATGAATGAATGTAACCGCTCTCCCACTACTTCACACTGCCTCTCTGTGATAGAGGCAGCAAGGGGGGAAGCAACTAGTTGAGTTGCTTCTACATAAAAACTAGTTATGTGAAGTTCCTACTCCGCTTAGGAAGGAACAATCAGTTTCACACTTACAGAACGGGAAGTAACTGTCTAGGAAGGAGTACTGCAGAAAAGGATCTAGGGATCATAGTGCACCAGAAGCTAAATATGATTCAACTGTGTGACATTGTGGCAAGAAAAGCAAATATGATTGTGGGATGCATTAACAGGAGTGTTGTGAGCAAGACATGAGAAGTAATTCTTCTGCTGTACTCTGCACTGATTAGGCCTCAGTTGGAGTATTGTCTCTCTTTTTGGCCACCACATTTAAAGAAAGACTTGGAGAAATTGGAGAAAATCCAGATGAGCAACACAAATGATTAAAGGTCTAGAAAACATGATCTATGAGGGAAGACTGAAAGAACTGAAAAAACTTAAAACACAATGAATAGTCTAGCAGCACCTTAAAGACTATCAAAACATGTAGATGGTATCGTGCTTTTGTGGGTACAACTCACTTCAGTTTTTTTTAGTTTAGAAAAGGGAAGATGGAGAGGGGACATGATGTGTTACAAGGAGGAGGGAGAAAAATTGTTCTCATTGACCTCTGATGATGGGACAAGAAGGAATGGGTACAAATTGCAGCAAGGCAGGCTTAGGTTGGACATTAGGAGAAAATTCCTAACTGTCAGGGTGATTAAGCACTGGAATAAATTGCCTAGGGAGGTTGTGGAATCTCTATCATTGGAGATCTTTAAGAGCAGGTTAGATAGGCATCTATCAGGGATGATATATATCAGACCTGGGCCCATGGTTTGGATCCAGCCCTCCATCCACCAGTTCTGGCCCGTGGAGGGCAGCAAGGAGCCCCAGGCAGGTTCCCTAGCTTGCCCTGAAGCTCCATGCACTGTGCAGAAATGCAGCTGGCAGGGCTCCGTTTCTGTTTTAAAACTGGAGGGGCGGGGGGAAGTTTTGGGAGCCACCTCCAGCACATTCCCATTGGCTGGCCGGTTGGTTGGAAAACATTTTAAGCTCTGCAGACAGGCAAGCTCTTTCTTGCCCCAACTCTGCCCTCTCTCGCCCCCCCACTCAACTTACCCAAACTCTCTGTCCCCCTCTTACACCCACAGCCCCTCCCAGATCTGGCACCCCAATCTCCTTCCCCAGATCACAATCCCCTCCTACCATAGGTCACATCCCAAACCTCTGCACTCCAGTCCCTTGCCCTAGATCACAGACTCCAGTCTCCCTACTGATCCCAGTATTTTACCCCAAACTCCCTTCTGCACCCAACCTCCATTCCAGACCCCGCACCTACTCCATTAATATCATGGAAGAGTGCGGTCCTCAACCACTTTCCAAAATCTTGGAGTGGCCCCCTCTCAAAAATTATTTCCCACCTCTGATCTAATTGGTGCTTGGTCCTGCTGTGAGGACAGGTGACTGGACTTGATGACCTATCAATGTCCCTTCCAGTTCTACTATTCTATGATTTCCTGACCTTTTGAAGAATAGAAGCTAAGATTAGATTCTTAGGGTCTTCCATTGAAACCCATGGAGAATTTCCCTTTTCAGATGTGTTGGTGTGGGTGTGTTAGAGAGACATCTCCTGTAATTATTTGTCTCCTAACAAAACCCCAGGTTTATATTCTGCAGTACCTACTAATATCAATGAGAGTTGCAGGCATTTAATGGATTATGAGATTTGACCCCAAGTTTTTCAGTATGAGGCCATGTTTTCTGTTAAGGGCCCAGTCTTGTATTCCTCACTCAGTTTAAATTACTTCGAGCTTCAAAATAGTTTTTTCTAAATAATGAATGTAAGCTAAGGACCCATGCTATTAACTATGAAATGTACATTGTCCCTGGTCTAGCAAATTCCCTTGTTCAAGACCAGTCAGGTCTTGAGGATGCCGGACCGGGGAGGTTCTACCCATGCCAAAATAAGAGTTAGCACTCCCACCTCTGATACTTTAACCCCAAAATAATAGTAAATCAAATAAGAACATAAGAACACCCATACAGAGTCATACAAAGGTCTGTTTTAACACAGTATCTTGTCTTCCAAGAGTGGGCCAGGCAAAATGCCTTAGAGGGAATGAACCGAACAGGTAATGATCAAGTGATCTCTTTCCTGCCATCCGTCTCCACCCTCTGACAAACAGAGGCTGGGAACACCATTCCTTACCCATACTGGCTAATAAATTCATGGAGGTTAAGTCCATTAATGGCTATCTAGTTCTCTTTTAACCCCTGTTCTAGTCCTAGCCTTCACAACCTCCTCAGGCAAGGAGTTCCACAGGTGGACTGTACGCTGTGTGAAGAAAAACTTTTTTTTATTTGTTTTAAACCATGTTGCCCATTAATTTCATTTGGTGGTCCCTAGTTCTTATATTATGGCAACAAGTAAATAACTTTTCCTTATTCACTTTCCCCACACCACTCATGATTTTATAGACCTCTCTCATATCCCCCTGTACTCTCCTCTTTTCCAAACTGAAAAGTTCTAGTCTCTTTAATCTCTCCTCATATGGGGCCCGTTCCAAACCACTGATAATTATAGTTGCCCTTCTCTGAACCTTTTCTAATGCCAGTATATCTCTTTTGATATTTGTATGCAGTATTCAAGATGTAGATGTACCATGGATTTATATAAGGGCATTAAGATATTTTCTGTCTTATTCTCTATCCCTTTTTTAATGTTTCCTAACTTCCTGTTTGCTTTTTTTGACTGCTGCTGCATACTGCGTGAATGTTTTCAGGGAACTATCTACGATGACTCCAAGATCTGTTTTCTGATTAGTTGTAGCTAAATTAGCCTTCATCATGTTGTATGTATAACTGGGGTTATTTTTTTCAATGTGCATTACCTTACACTTATTCACATTAAATTTCATTTATAACTTTAGGTATCTTTACAAAAACTAAAAAATCAATCTCCATTAATTGGCTTGTTATCCTATTTGAAGTTTTAGAAGAGGACATTTTAGAACAACAATACTATTTCTTTTTTACATATTATCAGAATATCTGTTTGTTTTGAAAATGTGTGTATTTTGTTTAAATTATCGTGTGTATGTGTGTGTATGTGGATATATATGTATATTTGTAATTTCCAGAGAACATACACTTTTTTCAATTGCCTTCCAGATGCTTTGCTGTTGGAGAAGTTCAGATGAAGTATCTTGAAACATATGTTGTGACCATATCAAATAACTCAAGCAGATATAATTTTAAAATCATTACAAAATATTACACATAACCATTTCGTTCTTTAAAATAATTTCTTTTGCCTTGTGAAATAGAATTTTTATGCTACTCATTTTTATTAGTTGTAAAGAAAACACTTGTTACTGGAATTTAAGTTCATAATCTTCAACCAAGCAGACTTCGATTTAATTTTGCACAGCAGACTGTTATTTCTTTTCCTCCTACAGGTGCTGTTGAATTGGAAAACTTACCTTTAAAGAAAGATGCCTTGAAGGAATTGGAGTTGCCATTTGAAGTAAAAGCAGGTATGTCTTTGTGCTTTTGTATGTGACAGGTGTTCTCTATGGAAATTATTCGTTTTGTTAGTTTCTGCTACAAGTATGAAGCATTTCAGTGACTTATAAGTTATCTTTTAATCATAAGTCATAACTGGAACTGAACTTAAAATAAGAGCTTGCATCTAAGTATCAAATTCTTAATGTAATCTGAATATATGTTGATCAAATGCTATGTTAACATTGCAAAGATGATATCCTTTCTCTTTCTCACTTTACATAGAGTAAAACAATGTATCTGTGCAGGATTCTAACAATGTTTCATCTTGGTGATTGTAGGTTTCATTGGCAAAATAACTCTCCAGATACCTTTTTATCGCCCTCATGTGGATCCCTGGGTAATATCGATCTCAAAACTTCACGTAATTGGTGCACCAGAGAAGCAAGAAGATTTTGATGAAGAAAGGGAGAAACTGCTAGAAAGAGAACACAAGAAAGCTCTTCTTTTAGCACTGGAAGAAAAATGGAAAGTGAGTATCATAGGACTTATCCTTGAATGTAAAGGAGTTGATATTGTATTGCTGTTACAGCAGTTTTGCCATTACGAAGATTGATCACATTCAGGGGAGCTGACAGCTGCGCCATGCCCTTGGGCAAGGGGGCAGGTAGCGCTGGACTCTTGGAAGAAGTGGGGCCAGAGGCAGCCAGTTATCAGTGCCACCCTGAATGTACCCCCTCCCCCAGTCCTAAGAGCCATGCAGAGCATGCCACGCAGTGCTCCAGGCAGTAATTTAAAGGGCTCGTGGCTCCAAGCAATGCTGTTGCCATAGTAGCACCCCCCTCACCATCCTGTCGGCAGGACTGATCACACTGAAATCATCCGAACAGCGTAACTTTATTTTTGAGTCAATATCCCAGAGACAGAGTCTTGATTTGATCTGCAGCATGGCTTTTGGCTTCCACAGTAGGCTGAGGAGACCCAGACCTCTTTTATCATCACTTCAGATCACAGCAATTTTATTTTAGCACTGTATTGGCACCTGGCCAATGTTTCAGAGCTAATTAATGTGTCAGAGCTAATTAATTCTCAACACAGATCAGATGGAAGGATTCATGGTGTGCTTCAGGTATCTGGAGAATCTCCTTTGATCATTTAATGTGGTTTACCTTAGGAAGCTTGATAAGCTTAGCAACTCTAGGCTTATGTATTTTTTTTTTTTTTTTACTATGAAATGTACATTGTCCCTGGTCTAGCAAATTCCCTTGTTCAAGACCAGTCAGGTCTTGAGGATGCCGGACCGGGGAGGTTCTACCCATACCAAAATAAGAGTTAGCACTCCCACCGCTGATACTTTAACCCCAAAATAATAGTAAATCAAATAAGAACATAAGAACACCCATACTGGGTCATATAAAGGTCCATCTTAGCCCTTGTCTTCCAAGAGTGGCCAATGCGAAATGCCCCAAAGGGAGTGAAGAGAACAGGTAATCATCAAGTGATCCCTCTCCTGTCATCCATCTCTACCCTCTGACAAACAGAGGCTAGGGACACCATTCCTTACCCATACTGGCTAATAGCCATACATTTATCTAGTTCTCTTTTAACCCCTGTTATAGTCCTAGCCTTCACAACCTCCTCAGGCAAGGAGTTCCATAAGTTGACTGTGCGCTGCGTGAAGAAACACTTCTTTTGGTTTGTTTTAAACCTGCTACCTATTAATTTAATTTGACTCCTAGTTCTTTGATTATGGGAACCGGTAAAATAATTTTTCCTTATTCACTTTCATACCTCTCTCATAACCCCCCCCCCCCCCTTAGTCTCCTCTTTTCTAAGCTGAAAAGTCGAAGTCTTTTTAATCTCTTTGTATGGGACCCGTTCCAAACCCCGAATCATTTTTGTTGCCCTTTTCTGAATCTTTTCCAATGCCAGTATATCTTTTTGAGATGAAGTGACCACATCTGTACGCTTTCTGGAAATCTAAATACACTATATCCACTGGATCCCCCTTGTCCACATGTTTTTTGACTCCCTCAAAGAACTCTAGTAGATCAGTGAGGCATGATTTCCCTTTCAGAAACCGGGTTACCTTTCCCCAACAAATTATGATCATCTGTATGTCTGACAATTTTTTTCTTTACTATAGTTTCAACTAACTTGCCCAGTACTGATGTTAGACTTACCAGTCTGTAATTGGCAGGATCACCTCTAGAGTCCTTTTTTAAATATCCAGTAACCAGTCACTATCTCTAATTATTTTCTAATACATTTCTTGCGATCAATATTTTGTCTTATATCCTCACTACTAATAGTTTAATATTAAGTGCAGTTGTAAGATAATTTATAACCTTCTACTCCCAAAGGGGACAACTAGACAACTCCTAATTATACTGATAAAGAAAAGCATCTGTTACCTATCCTTACATGTCTAATGTGTAACTTATTATATTAAATTGGGAGGTACTTATATACTTTTAATTTTAACAGGTGTCTACATACGCACTTCGTATAACATTAACAAATGACCTATTTTGAATAGATTTTTGAATTTCAATACTTCTTCTGATGCTCTTCCATTTTCCAAATAATTGTCATGTATTTCATGCCCTAAATTGTGTTTTTTCAAAAAACATTACCAAAGCTAATACAGGTTGAAGCGCTCTATTTTGGCACCCTTGGGACCTGACTGGTGCCAAACCAGAGAATTCAGCAATACCAACACTTCCACTGCTTTCTGGGCTCTTAGAAGACATTTTGGTGTAAATTAGAGCTAAATAAAAGCACAGAACGCTGAGAGCCACGACTGGTGGCTGTAAACAAACTTTACAGGACTGCGGGAAACTTAGCCATACCCATGATAAGTGGACATACGGCTAATTAAAATCATGGTGGACCATGGATGTTGCCGGATTTGAGAGTGATGGACTAGAGAGGTTCAGCCTATAGTGGTTGTTTTAAAATGTCCTGAAAATAGGCTACTTTCATGGAAATTGACCATCTTACCCATTACAAAGATAGCTTCCCCAGTTATCACCTCTAATATCATTAGCTCACAGACATTTACCTCCCCCTCTTCCCCCCCATCCTCCTTCTGTTCTGAAATTTGATTTGTTCTTTTCATATGAGTTCATTCTTTTTTAATTGTATCCTTTGGTGTATATATGGTTGTGACAATTTTCTTCCACTATTTGACCTGAGGAAGCGGGTCTGGCCCACGAAAGCTCATCACCTATTAAACTATCTTGTTAGTCTTTAAAGTGCTACATAGTCCTGTTTTTTGTTTCAGCTGCATCAGGCTAACACGGCTACATTTCTATCACTGTTCAGAAGTAAACATTCCCATACCAGTGTTTGCAATGCAAACATAATGCTAACGGATCAGAATCAGAACATAAAACTAACTCGCTTACTTTGTGCACTTAATTTAATCATTGTAACTACATGGTAAAAAAGTCAATCTGCATTTAAAAGTTCTTTATTATAATCTAAACTTTTGGTAACACAAGGAAGTCATTGCTTGTTAAATGGAAGTTTTAACATGACAGTCCCTTCTAACATAGTGTTTGACTTGTAATCTCCTACATTATATAGTTCCCCTCACCCAGCTGAGTAAACGTTAACATTTATTTTCCAGACCTTGTATTTAAAGGGAATATATTATCTTTAACAAAATGGCTGTTCTCTCTCTTTCAGAAAGAACGACAGCAGAAAGGAGAATCTTACTGGTATTCAGTTACTGCATCTGTAGTCACAAGAATTGTAGAGAACATTGAAGTAAGTCTAATGGGACCCACAACCTTTCATTGTATTTACTGAATAATATTTGTGGTTTGTATATAATGTGCTTCTTGTTTGTTTTTGAGGACGCTCAACATGTGTAAAATGAAGGTGATTGCATAGTAAAGAGAGACCCCTTTCAGAGCTAGAATCCTTTTTCCTCTAAACTCTGAACCAAGACAGAATTTGCAAAGTGAGGGGTTTATGGGGAGGATAGATCTTTCACATTCTAAAGCCTAGGAGAAGCTTTCTTGCTTTGTAGGGGTCAATGGACGATGATTCTCCTTACCATAATAAGGGGGGCCTCCCAATTTAACATAATTTTTCCAGTTTTAAAAGTTACAATGTACTACACACACACACAGATTTATGTATAATGTTTTGAATGTGACATGTTTGGTGAGTTAATAGCTTGTACTGGATCAACTTCTGTGTTTTGTTCCTCACATTTGCTCAGGAAGTAGATGTTGCTGTTAAGTTTGACTTCCTTCTTTGTGTTATGAAGTTTCCATTTTAAATGGCAAAATTCATTATCTTCCATAGTTGCTTGCAGCGTTGTTGGTGTTTGTGTCCTAGGATCTGAGAGTAGCACTGAAGTATATAAAGAAGAAAATGTAAACACACTTCTGATATTTTGGTTCTTAGACCTTTGCTTAATTTTACTTGTGATGCATGAAACTTGATGCTGCCTGAAAGATTGTTTAACAACCACAAATAAATTGTATATGCAGTGTTAATCTAGCAATATTGGATAGGCACTGAGTAAAAAATTTTACTCCTTAGTTGCCAACTCTCTCAAAATTCTGGAGTATGGGCTCTCTTACTTTTCTCTGTTAAAGTGATGATAACACTAATGATATTCACTTATTCCTAGCTAAATGTTTGCTAATTAAAATCTACCAGGACATCTGCATTATTAACAAACCTATGTCTGCAGGAACAAAAAAAAATCAGTTCTCCCTTCAATATCTTCTGAAGTCTGTTTATGCTAGCTACAATGTACATTAATTTGTCCTCTTACTTCACCTATATATAGAAGAGATAGTCCATGCTAACTCTGTGTTGAGAGATCGACTCCATGTACTTATGCTTACCCCCTATCTCACTAGTTGCAACGCAAAACTGAGATAACAGTTATAAAAGGAAGTTAGATATTCTAGATGGGAGATCTTGGGCTGAATGTCATGCTTTACTGTACAATATAACAGTAAAATGTAATTGGTTCCACAACCATTATGAGACTTCTGCCACATGTAAAATTAATTCATTTCACCACTTCACAATCTGCTAAAGCAGCATTAGCCTGCATTACTGGTCTATATTGATGAGCAACATGAGTTTCTGTATGAATAGAGCATTTGTGGCCTGCAAGCAAGAGCAGTGGCAAAGTAGCAGAGGAAAAAATAGCCTGCTTTTCCATTTTCACAGATGTTGTTAATAAGCCTCAGTGTGGCTATTGAATTTTATATCTTTATGGAATTGCACTGAATTCAGTGGGAGTCTATTCAAGATTTAACATCTAGAGAGATAAATTGTTCTTTCTGGTCTGAGGAAGAAATATGGAGTGGAGCCCATGGGAGTGCAGTCAGGAAGTGGCAGGCGGATCTCATCACAGAATACCTATTTAAATACATTTTGTTTGTTTCTTGGAGTATAATATTATGATACATGATATATTTGTCAAGATTGAAGTACAGTGTACCTGTTTCAAGCATAATACCATCTAATTTTACTCCGTCACTTTTTGCTGTCTCCTCAGTTAAAAATTCAAGATGTCCATCTGCGATTTGAGGATGGCATCACAAATCCTTCACAGCCATTTGCCTTTGGAGTGTGCATCAAAAACGTATCCATGCAAAATGCTGTAAATGTGCCTGTGAGTATAGGTCAAAGTTAGCACTGCATGAAGAAACCATCCCAGCTAAGATATGATGTCACTTTCTTATGGGAATGATGTAAATTTTTCCTAGAGATGCAGCCGTGTTAGTCTGGTCTAGCTGAAACAAATGACAGAACTATGTAGCACTTTTTTTTCCTGTGTTTCATATGCAATACAGAAGTTGCTATTATATAATTCCTGCAAATATTGTTTTATAAAGCAAAATAATTATTGTAGATAACTGTTAAGAATTATTGTTAAGCATGATATCTACAATAATTCTTAAGTAAAAAACAGCTGCGTGTTACACTCTGAATATTTAACAGTGATCACAATATAGTCAAATTTAAAATAATTTGTCACATTTTCTTTGCATTGTGACTGAATTCAAATTTTTCACTTAAGGTAGAGAAGCTGATGCGGAAAAAGCAGCTGGATGTTGCTGACTTCAGTATTTATTGGGATACTTATTGCACTTTATTGGGAGACCTGCCTCTTGGTGAGCTACAGGTATGAGATGAATATTTTGAAGGCGCAATGTTTACTTGCATATGCAGGGGGAACTCTGACTGTCATGTTCTGCCACCAGTGTGTAATATAATACAAAGTAAATGTTATAGTGTCTTTGGGTCTAGGAATATTTGGATCAACTGAAGCTGTGGATTCATGATGTAATGGAAAAATTAATATGGGACCAAGTAAAAACTGAACGATGAACAAACTACTTGATGTTGATGTTTAACTGCTCTTCTTTAAAAGCCCTCCTTAAACCATGCTGCTTCCATGAGACCTGCCAAATAAGGAGGCAAAATCCTGATTTATTAGTTAACCAGTTAAATGTCTCTTTAACCGACTAAGTGGAATCCCAGGCGGGGGACTGTTTCAGCCTGGCTGGAGCAGCCTTCAGCCCATGGGGCTCTTGTTCCCAGTCCCGCCTGAGGCTAGCTGCCAGCTCCTGGCCCCAGCTGCCAGCCCCACGCTGGAGAAGGACGGGGCTGGAGCAGCCCTGTGCCCTTGAAGGCAGACTGCTCCTGGGTAACTAGTTAACCATTAGCCATTCACATCCCTACTACCAATGGTACTACAACTATAGACTGTAGAATAGTAATTCAGCTTTTAAATATTAAATGAAAATATCCTAACTATTAAACAAGTAAAATTAATCCGCTTAGATAATATGCTATCATATTACACTCTGTAAGTGCAGTTTTCCTCTCATTGTGTTTTCTGGGCTCTTTGTTCCACCTCTTCATTTGTAATGATGTGTTCTTGATCTAATGAAGGCCTCAGTGTTGCTATTGGATCTTTTCTCTATATGGAGTTGCACTGAATTCCATGGGAGTCCATTCAGGATTTAAGAGTGTACCTGAGTGGATCTTACTGCAGGATAGGTGTTTTAGATAGTGGATGCTAAGGCACAGAGGTGGGGTTTTTCTTTTTAATTACTGGGCAATGTATGGCTTTGCCTGAAGAATGGGAAAAGCATTTACCCCAACTTCTGTATGATCTTGGGTATATCATTTCATTTTTTTGTGTCCAAGTGTATTTATCTATCAAATAGGGATGATAATTTCTTACCTCCGTAGGAGTGTTATGAGACTAATTTCATCCATTTTTATAAAATGCTTTGAGAGCCTCAGAAGACATTATAGAAATGCAAAGTATTGTCATTTGTGAAGTACCTTGCAGAGCCATGACATGTATAAGTAATTTCCCCAAATATCACAAAGATAATCTTGTTTATATAAAAACAATTTCATTAGGAGAAAACTTGGTTAAAGCAGATGGCATCCCAACACTTAATAGAATCCTTATTAGCAGATAAAGTCATTTAAATAAATGGGGAGTGTGTTTTATGTAATGATGGATTGAATTTGCTTGTAACTCACAGGATGCAATGGATAAAAGTATGGAGAGCCGTGATCATAATTACATTATGGAGCCTGTATGTACTTCAGCTCTTCTCAGGAGAAATTGTTCTAAGGAACCTTTAAGGTCACGACAGACACCACGGCTTGAGTGTGATATCCAGCTTGAGACAATACCATTAAAACTTTCACAGGTAAAATGAGTTCAGTGAAGTGCTTCTCCAGACCATGGTTTAGATGTTCATTTGACCCACAGAATGTAAAATTGATTATATCATTGTGCAGATACATGAAAAATTGCTCTGATAATTTAACAGAATATACTAACACTGTTTTATTTATGCTATTCTAATAAAAGATACAGTATCAGCAAATTATGGAGTTCTTAAAGGAGTTGGATCGAAAAGAGAGACAGCTAAAATTCAGAAAATGGAAACCAAAGGTTATGGTAGCTGGCAAGTAAGGGTTTTTTTGCTTATATTTTTATGTAATGATATAAAAATATCCTTTTGGGTGTTCATATGTTTATTTTTCACATATCTAAACAACACTATTTAGTCCAAAAGTAGGAGAAAAAATCATAAAGGCTGTGAAGGCTAGGACTATAACAGAGTTTAAAGAGAAGCTAGATAATTTTATGGAGGTTAGGTCCATAAAAGGCTATTAGCCAGCGGATAAAATGGTGTCCTTGGCCTCTGTTTGTCAGAGGCTGGAGAGGGATGGCAGGAGACAAATGGCTTGATCATTGTCTTCGGTCCACCCTCTCTGGGGCACCTGGTGCTGGCCACTGTCGGCAGACAGGATACTGGGCTAGATGGACCTTTGGTCTGACTCAGTACGGCCGTTCTTATGTTAATTAGTGATTATGTAGTACACTGAATTTAGAAATATATTTAAATTATATTCTAGTTCTAATACTCTGTGTTCTACTAGGTGATTTATGTTTCTCTCTATATAAAAAAAAAAAAAAAATTCCTTCAGGATGACAGAGTGACATCATCATGTCATCTGCATCCCCATGACGCCAATGCCACCCGCCTCTGCCCTCATCCTCAGCCACTGCTATGGCCAGCCTCAGTGCCGTTCCCTCATGTCATGGGCTGCTCTGGCTCCCACTTCATGTTGTGGGGGGCTGCACCGCCAGGGAGGAGCTGCTGGGGCTGGGTGCCCTCTAACATCTGAGCATGACCCCTCCTGCCCCTGGGTCCCTCTGCTGTCTGAGCCCCCCTCTCTCCAGCGTTGTTGGGTCCCCTCCACCATCCAAGCTCAACCCCCACCCCATCTCGCTTCCCCACCGCCATCCAAACCCAACCTCAGCCCCCTCACCGCTTCTGCTGAGACCCCACATCTCCAGCCCACTCCTGCCTCCTCCCGCTGGCCAGACACCTACTCCCAGTCCGCTCTTGCCCCCTCTGTCCTGGCCAGGCACCGACCCATAGAGAGAGGGGAGTTCGCAAGTGTAGTGAGCAGGCCCTAGTTGCCGTATATTTAATTAATTTGGATTGATACCTAAAATAAAAGTTGCAGTGATCCAAGGTTCTAAGTGCTTCTGTCACAAATTACAAGAATCAATGAAAACAATATGGGAATTTTGCCCTTGCCTCTATGAAATGAGTTGGCTTTTTTTGTTGTTGAAGCAGCTGGGGAACCCCATACCCTCCATTAACATGTCTGTATCAAGAGTAAAAGTATCAGAAGCTAATGAAAAGAAGATAGCATTTTTTACTGTTATATTAGGACATGCTGATTAACGTGCCATTAAGACTGTGGTGTCCATTTATTCCAATACCTTATTAGGCTAGTGTGTGTCTTTTTTTTTTTCTCACCCACCCTTCCCTGACTTGAAAATAAGCTAACTGGAAATATATTTGTTTGTCATGTTTTAGCTGCCGAGAATGGTGGATCTTTGCTTTGAATGCTAATCTATCAGAGATCAGAGAACAGAGGCAACGTTCTACATGGGACTTTGCATTCCGCCGGGCCCAAGATGCTGTGTCTTACACAGATATGTATTACAGTAGGTTAAAAGGCATCCCGCTGTCTACTGCAGAACAGGTATTGATATTTGCAAGCACTGTACAGTACAGGCAGTCCCCGAGTTACGCGGATGCGACTTACGTCGGATCCGTACTTACGAACGGGGCCTGCGTCCTCCGGGGCGAGAAAAGCTGTTCCGCATCTCCCTGGTCTGCTGTGGGGGGGGAGGCGCAGCTAGTGTGCCCCCCCCCTCCCAGCAGACCAGGCTTTCCTCGCCGACGCCTGGGGTAGAGCAGCTGGGGCGCTGCCGGGTTGGTCCCGCAGCGCCGCTCCTCGGTGCTACTGGACCACCCCGGCAGCCCCCCAGCTGCTCTGCCCCAGGCATCCCCAAGTCAGCCGCTGCTGAAACTGGCCAGCAGCTGACTACAGGAACCCCGAGGCAGAGTTGCTCTGCCCCGGGCTTCCTGGAATCAGCCCCTGATCAGTTTTAGCAGCAGCTGACTTGGGGACACCTGGGGTAGAGCAGCTGGGGCGCTGCCGGGTTGGTCCCGCAGCGCCGCTCCTCGGTGCTACTGGCCCAACCCGGCAGCACCCCACCTGCTCTACCCCAGGTGTCCCCAAGTCAGCTGCTGCTAAAACTGATCAGGGGCTGATTCCAGGAAGCCCGGGGCAGAGCAACTCTGCCTCGGGCTTCCTGTAGTCAGCTGCTGGCCAGTTTTAGCAGCGGCTGAATCTGGATGCCAGTTCCGACTTACATACAAATTCAACTTAAGAACAAACCTACAGTCCCTATCTTGTACGTAACCCGGGGACTGCCCGTATAGATAATATCTCAATATAAGACACCCCAGGATCTTTTTGAAATGAAACTAAATGTGTCTTGCTTATGTTCTTATTGTAAAATTTATCTGTTTTAACTGTAGAATTATTTTAAATTTGCTAAAAATCTGTTGTGTAGCAACAAATTTACAAAATCTCTTTGTATTGTAAAAAAAATAATCTGCTTCTACCATTACTTATTTCTCACAGTTATCGGTGGTGCTTTTTCACTAATTATTCATGCTGGTCTCTTCATAGATGAAGAATGAAACTTTTACACAGACTTGAAAGTCTTTAAAATGCAAGACTAGATAGTGTCCCAAGCCTTCCATGCTATGAAGTGGGAAGCGTAGGACAAAAAATGTTTGTTTAAGATAGTTCTTTCAAGATTTGGTTTTCAACAAGAAGACAGACATGCTATTGTTTTCCTGCAGTTTGCATTGTGAAAATTATGGTGCTCCTGACGAGACATTCAGACCTTTTGACCTTTATTCTCATGTATTTCTTATTTGCATTAGTAAAGAGGGATGATTCATATGAGCAAGGAACATACAAGTGTGCTCATGTTTTCAAAAGTTTTACAAGCCTGGTTATTGAGGGTGCTGATGGTGACTCCTATATTTAGATTTCTTAGCACTTTCCTTTATATATAAGATTCTTGTGATTTAAAAAAAAAAAATTTTTTTAATCTCTAACACAGACCTTCGAAATTCCCCTGGGAGGGAGCCCTGTAGCTAGAGACGTGCCTTTTTCTTGTTCTATGAAATTTGAGTTAGGTTTGGCTGAGCTATAAACTTTTGAAAATTGCCATTTGCCTTGTGATTTGCAGCATGTCCAAGTAATTGAACACAAACATTCTAAAGAGCCAGGCCTATGCTGCTGCCAGAACAGCAGCACATACTGTGCACACCCGGGAGCTCCAGAGCTATTGTAGTGGAGCAGGAGAGAGATGACCTGGACTTTCCTTATCTGGCACAAGGCCCCAATGGCCCATCTTTAGCATGAGGCAGGCATTCCTCTAGCTCAGTGGTCACCAACCAGTAGATCGGGATCTACTGGTAGATCTTGGAGCTTCTGACAGGTTTGGCCACATGGCTATCAAGTGCCTGCGCTTCAGCTGCTTCTCCTCCCACTGCTGTGCATCTCCTGCCATTAGTCTTGGATCTGCCCCTCCCCCTTGGAAGCCTCCTGCTTTCCATGCAGGCCAGGTGGGGGTGAGGAGGGATGCTGATGTCAAGGTGGCCCCTCCCACTCTGTGTTCTATCTTCACAGAGCAGAGAGTGGGCACAACAGGACTTGGGATGGAGTTTTCTGGCTATTTTAGGGAGTGGTGCAGGGCCAGGGCAGAGGTGAGCCTGCCTTAATCCCACTGCACCACCAGCCAGGAGCCACATGAGGTATGCAGTGCCCCGCTGGAACCCACATCCTGAACCCCCTCCTGCGCGCCAGTCATGAACCCCCTCCTGCATGCCAGGCACCCCTGCATCTAAACGTGGTCCCAGAGCCTGCACCTGGAACCCCCTCCTATATCCCATCTGTCTGCCCTAAGAGCAGCTCAGAGCCCCTCTCACACTCCAGGTCCCTTAATCCAAGACCAGAGCCTGCACCCCAACCCTCTGCCCAGTGTGATGAAAGTGAGTGAGGATGAGCAAGAGAGGGAAGAGGGAGGATGGAGTGAGCTGAGGTGGAGCCTTGGAGAAGGGGTGGGATGGAGGCGGGGCAAGGGTATTTACATTTAAGGTAGATTTTGGATTGCACTTAAATTGAAAAAGTGATCTCATGCTTAAAAAGGTTGGAGACCACTGCTCTAGCTTCTGGGAGTGACTTGGGTTGGGCCATGTACTGGGGCTGATCAGGTGGGCGGGGAGAGCCTAAGTAGTTCCATTGTCTCCTCCTCCCCTCTTGTTTATGAGGCTATGTTCCTAGGATTACCACCCCCTACAATTAGCTAATGTAGTTACTCCTTAGCTCAAGCTGTGCCACAAGACTGAAGGTTCAGGGATGAAACCTTGCTGATGATGCATTTTGGGTGGGTTGTTAGTGGTAATTCACAGAATGTTTTAAAAACTTTTATTAAACTCATGTAGGAAATTTCATACAAAAACTCAGTTAAAGGAATGTTTAGGTTGCAAAATAAAGCACTTGGAATGTCAGATATAAGGTTGCCGATACAGCCTACATTTTGGTTCCTTATGTTTAGCGGGTTACATCTACACGTTGCATTGTTGCACAAGAAGATATGCAAATGTGGTGCGGCGATGAATATCGGTGCGCCTCATTTGCATACCTAATGAGCTGCCATTTTGCGGAAGGGGCTTTTGTGTAAGAAGGAGCTATCAACACAGCTCCTTCTTGCGCAAAAACCTCCTCTTGCACAGGAGCCGTTATGCTGCTTATTTTCAGGAAGAACGGCTCTTGCCCAAGAGGGGTTTTTTGTGCAAGAAAGAGCAGCGTAGACAGCTCCTTCTTTCACTAAAGCGCCTTCTGCAAAATGGCGGCTCATTAAGTATGCAGATGAGGCGCATGAGACATTCTTCCTGAAAATAAGCAGCATAACGGCTCCTGTGCAAGAGGAGGTTTTTGCGCAAGAAGGAGCTGTGTTGATAGCTCCTTCTTACACAAAAGCCCCTTCTGCAAAATGACGGCGCATTAGGTATGCAGATGAGGCGCGGCGATATTCATCGCTATGCCTCATTCACATATCTTCCACAACAATGCACAGTGTAGATGTAGCCATGCAGTTTGATATTATCTTGAATTCCATGATAGCAGTTTGTCCAGACTCATTCCTCATTCCGTGCACATTTACGGTTGGACTTTGTAACCAAAATAACTTCTTTAATGTAAATTTGAAAAATGTATATTTGATTATGTAATATTTTACTTAGTGTAATATCAAATAGCTTCTTTTGAAATTGGATTTGCGCATCTATATACCCAGTCACAAAATTTGGGAACATTATTTAATAGGCAAGACTTTTTCTGGCATTGTAAACCATCTGGTGGTTTATATATTTGCTATTAATAGGCTCCCTCAAGCTCCAAGAAACATCCGTTTTTTATTCTAGGGTTGCAAGTCCCCTTGTGGGATGCTCCCCACCATCACTCATATACTCTATGCTGTAGACCATTGATTGAAGTTCTTGCTTACCATGCAAGAATTGAGCAGGTCTGCCAAGTACGCTGTGTCTGATGCATCTGGTTTCAAAAAATGAATTCTCTTCACAGAAAAGGATAAGGGAGAAGCGGTGGATGTCATATACCTAGACTTTAGTAAGGCATTTGATACGGTCTCGCATGATATTCTTATTGATAAACTAGGCAAATATAACTTAGATAGGGCCACGATAAGGTGGGTGCATAATTGGCTGGATAACCGTAGTCAGAGAGTTGTTGTTAACGGTTCTAAATCCTGCTGGAAAGGGATAACAAGTGGAGTTCCTCAAGGGTCTGTTTTGGGACCCGTACTGTTCAATATCTTCATCAATGATGTAGATATTGGGATAGAGAGTACTCTTATTAAGTTTGCAGATGATACCAAACTGGGTGGGGTTGCAACTTCTTTGGAGGATAGGGACATAATTCAAAATGACCTTAGCAAGTTAGAGAAATGGTCGGAGGTAAACAGGATGAGGTTTAATAAGGAGAAATGCAGAGTGCTCCACTTAGGAAGGAACAATCAGTTCCATACATACAAGATGGGAAGCGACTGTCTAGGAAGGAGCATGGCGGAAAGGGATCTAGGGGTCATAGTGGACCACAAGTTGAATATGAGTCAACAGTGTGATGCTGTTGCCAAAAAAGCAAATATGATTCTAGGTTGTATCAACAGGTGTGTTGTAAGCAAAACTCGTGAAGTCATTCTGCCGCTCTATTCTGCACTAGTTAGGCCTCAGCTGGAGTACTGTGTCCAGTTCTGGGCGCCACATTTCAAGAAAGATGTGGAGAAATTGGAAAGGGTACAGAGAAGAGTGACAAGAATGATTAAAGGTCTAGAGAAGCCTATGAAGCCAGGCTTCATGAACTGGGCTTGTTTAGTTTGGAAAAAAGAAGATTAAGGGGGGACATGATAGTGGTTTTCAAATATCTAAAAGGGTGTCACAAGGAGGAAGGTGAAAATTTGTTCCTCTTGGTTTCTGAGGACAGGACATGGAGTAATGGGCTTAAAGTGCAGCAGGGGAGGTTTAGATTGGACATTAGGAAAAAATTCCTAACTGTCAGGGTGGTCAAATATTGGAATAAATTGCCAAGGGAGGTGGTGGAATCTCCCTCTCTGGAGATATTTAAGAACAGGTTAGATAGACATCTGTCAGGGATGGTGTAGACAGAGCTTGGTCCTGCCTTGAGGGTGGGGGACTGTACTCGATGACCTCTCGAGGTCCCTTCCAGTCCTATGATTCTATGAAATATTTCCATAGCTTTCTTTGTCCATACTTGTAAGTTGAATTCCAATTTTGGCTCTTATGTACCTGTAGCATAGATCCATATTTGCATTCAGTTTAATTGTATATTAAATGAGCAAATTGCCTTGGATTTTCATTGCATGGCTGTGCGCCAGTTCCTTCTCTAGAGATTTTCAAATTGACCTACAGGATTTAGGAGGGCACGTCCCAATGATAATCAGGGCATTTGTGCTGCTCAGTCCATGAGATGTTTGAAAGAATCTCCATCTAAGAGTGTACATTTTTGAAGAGTATAAACCTTTTTGCCACTTCAGGAGGAAATGCATCGTATTGAAGAAGAGCAGACATTTGAGGAGATGAAGATTTTACGTGAGATTGTTTATGAGAAATTCCATGAAGTAGCTGAGGTGAGTAACTTTCTATATGCTGGCTAATATTTAGATCATAAAGGAGCAGTATTGCGAGTAGTTGTATTTTCATTGTTGTAAAAAGTATTGTAGCATGTACTGTATATTCCTGCTAAGTAGTGTGATGCTAGTGCTAAAATCAGAATCCATACTCACATTCTTCAACAATGATATAGTGAGTGCTGTTATTAGGGTGCTTAGGCAGCAAACTCCCTTCCCCAGCCATATGTTGACAATCTTAAATGATAACATCAGCCTCTGTACTAGCAACTCCTCTTCCTCTTTAATATTAAAAGGGAGAATTTAGACTCAAACATGTAATGGAATTTTCTGAAGAGTTGGTCCTTTTATAATTATACAAATATTGACCCTTTAAACGAAGGTTGTTAAAATTTGTTTGTTTTTGTAAATGTGTAACCGTTGACATTTCTTTTCTTTAGCCATTATATGTTTACACACAGGAGGCAGGGGGGAGCTGGTGCTCATGGAGAGCCAGCTTTAAGCTGGCATCTTGCTCGTACTGGTTCCCACCTCCCCACTGGCTGCCTCTGCCCACTACCAGAAGCAGTAGGAGCGGGGAGGAGACTGAGTGTAACTGTGGGGGTCAACTGATGAGCCCAGTCTCATCAGTTAACCATGTACACGGATACGTATTCACATCCCCACTTGAAGCACCATTTCATAAAATGTAATGTAAACCACTGTTTGTAACCCTGGGTTAGAGTTCTGTTAAAGGTAAATAATTGTGGATTGACTTATGGTAGATTGTGCATAACAAAAGATTCTGGTAACTGTTAGGTTGATAGAGTATCTAAGTAAGAAAAATTAGGAACTGATGTGTGTAAGTCCAGAAATGTTAAGTCCTACGTATGCCTATAGCTAGTAGCTAACTGTATTAATAAGTTTAGAATGTATAAAACAAGATTCTGGTAATAGCCCATTCAGATAACACAGTATTATATTTGATAAGTGAAAATAGCGTTGCATGATAATTATGCTTAAGAATATTTATTAAGCAAGTAGTAGATGGAATCATAGTAAGAAACCGTATATTTCTGGAGTTTTAGGAAAAAGTGTTTCATTTATTTGTCCTAATATCTGTGTGTTTTTGTTTATTTGGAACAGAGTGTTAAAGAGCCTTTCTCTGAGTCCCCTGGAGTTTCTCCTACAGATCCTGAATGTAGCAGTGGCAGTGGGATGCTGCAGTATCTTCAGTCATGGTTTCCTGGGTGGGGAGGCTGGTATGGATACTCTCAGGAAACATATGAAGGTGAACCTTTTGAAGGACTTCTACCAGAAACACAAGAACAGTGGAGTCCTGAAGACATACGGGGTATGATGATATTTTATCTGAAAAATGATCATTTAGGGAATATATTTACATTTAAAAAAAAAAGTACCAGCGAGTTTCAGAGTCTGTGTCAACTTGGGCTTATGCTTAGTGTGGGACTAAAAATTGTGTAGACTGCTTGGGTTGCAACTGGGTTGGGAAGGTGGATCTCTGAGGCTAGGATCCACTCTGAGTAGGAACCTATACATTGCTATTTTTAGTCCAGTAGCACATGCCCCATGAACCTAAAGCAGTATACCCAGGCTCTGAGGCTTTTTTTTTTTTTTTTTTTACAGTGTAGATGTACCCGTAGTTAGGTACTTGATGAACAGAAATAATTCTTATAATTCCCATCACTAAGAGAGCTGTAGACTTTACATTTCTAAATAAATATCTATAAAGGAGAAACATTTAAAAATGATTTTAATTGCTATAATTAAATTAAAATTTGTTGTTTTCTGATAGAATTGATTGCTAACTTCTAAAGTAGCATAAAAACTACAGCTGTCTGCACTGTTTTAATTGTTTATATAAGTTGGACCTCCAAAAACTGGGACCTTCTCATCTGGCTGCTGGACCACAGATGTTCCTGGACCAGGGAGTCCTGGCTGGGAGCCCCAGTGCCAAGAGGACTGGCAGCTTGGAGCTGCTGGGGCTGGGACCTGGGCTGGAGCCCTAATAGCACAGCTGGGGCTGCAGTAGCCCCAGTAGCGGGGTTGGGGTCAGGGATGTGGCAGCCACGGCAAACCCCGTAGCAGGGCTGGGGACATAGCAACTGTGGTAGTGGAGGCATAGCTGGGGATGCAGCAGCTCCGCTAGCCCGAGTAGCAGCGCTGGGGATGCGGCAGTCCTGCTAGCCCCAGTAGCGGGGTCGGGGATGCGGCAGTCCGGGCTGCTGGGACCACAGCAGCCCCACAGGGAGGTGGCTATTGCTGGCAGTGGGGAGGGGAGGAGAGGTGGGTTGGGGGGCTGGTAGAGGGAGACTTCCCCATGGCTGGCAAATTCCCTCATTCAGGACCTGGTAAGGTCCCGAGGGTGCCGGACCAAAGAGGTCCAATCTGTAGTAATAACTGTGTCTCTCCTGCAATAAACCCCTGAGTTCTGATTGAGCCAGGAATACCATTTTTTTTCTACTTGTTCATTCCTCCCTGCCCCGTCTGGTGATGGGGTCATCTTTGTCATTTACTGAAAACTAAATCTCAGGTCTTGGCTCACTAGCTGTCATGTAGCTTGTTTGTTAAATTCACCTTGTTCTCGTTTTGTAAACTAGGTGCTGATGAATTTTTTGATCCAGCTGCAGATGCCTCCAATATGAACACATTTACTAAGAGAGATCATGTGTTTGCTAAATTAAATCTCCAGTTGCATGGTGGTACTGTCACCTTGTTGCATAAGGAGAAGAGGACTCCCTGTACAACTGAAAGTGCTTTCATGCAGCTGGAATTTTCAGGTAACATACTATATTTCAAATGCAGACCTAAAATAAGACAAGAGCTTTGCCCGCTTTAAACATTGCAGTTGCTCGTGGCTGAGCTAATGTCATGGAACGGTATGGAAACAATTCAGATCAAGACTTCACTTCCCTTGGGAAGGCTTTGTTTCATTTGTTTATATGTTGCTATTTTAATTATATTAGGAGAAGTAGATAATTGAGACTGTGACTACAACAGCAATTGATTGAACTTTCATTTGTTTTATTGTGTATAGAGTGATGATAAATCTTTTTACTTTCAATTATTTGAACAGTTTCACAGTCACTTTATAAATAAATTCTTTTCTGGTATTTAGTCCTTTAGTTCAGATAAGTAAGTGATAATAAAACAAACATTATTAAAGTGGTCAGCAAAGGAACAGGAGATGACCATACATTTAGGCTGTGTCTACACTGCAGATCTTACAGCAGCACAGCTTTACTGTTGTGCTCTAAGGTCTCCCATGTAATGGCTTTATGCTGGCGGTGGAGAACTTTTTTGCTTGCTTTATTAAAACACTCCGAAACAAGTGGCGGTACCTGTGTCAGCAGGAGAGCATTTCTCACTGCAATAGCATTGTCCATATTTGTCCTTTTGTTGGTGAAACTTTTGTTGGTCGGGGTGTTTTGTTGGTCAGGGATGTGAAAAAAAACAATGTAGACATACCCTGACTTCATTAGGTGAAGAGATGTATGAACTTACAGTTCTGCTGTGTTCATAGATATCCATAAAATACTGTAGTAGTAGCACCAAAGTTTTTATTAGGGATATTAACATGTGTTTATGTAAACATGTAATTGCTGAAATTTGTCCATTACTTAACTCAGACACTTCATATCAGGCCTCCTGATACAAGGGCTTATACCTCAGGCTCTTTTCCTACTACAAATGTTAGTAACATTTGACTCTTTCCTGCATATTTTTACTAGTGCAGACATTGTTAATACAAACTAGATGCCTCTGACCACTGGGGATGTGAAAGGTTAAATGGTAAACATCACCCTTAACCAGTGATGCTTGCTGGGACCAGTTAACTGGTGGAGGCTGGAGCTGCTCCCCGCCTGCTGTGAGTCGGGGGGCTGCTCCAGCCCACAGGCTTGCTATGGATGCCTGGAGCAGCCCCAGTTTTCCTGCGGGGATGAGTTGTTCCAGAGCTCTCTTTAATTCAATGGTTCTCAAAGTGCTTGAGCCCGGTACCCCCCACTCCCTCACGCAGCGGGGAGCCCATGCTGCCTCTGGAGCTTTGCGGTTGGTGCCCAGCTGCAAGGCTGCAGCTGCTTGGAGGGTGTGTGGGGGCTGGTGGTGGTGAAGCAAGTAAACTCCCCACCGCTGCAGGCTGCGGAGCTACAGGTGGAGGAGTGCCACCCCGCCCTGCTCCATAGAAATGTCCTGCCCCCGCTGCTGGGTGTTTGTCTTGCCTAGGCCTTGCCAAGCTCTGTCACCATAATAACAATGATTCTTCCCTGGGCCCCAGCCCTATTCCCAGGAGTACCCTGTCCCCCATCTCCCTGAAACCCCTCAGCCACTCTGCCCCCCAGCTTTATCCCCAGGTATTCCCTAACTCCCGGCTAGACTCCCTGCTCCTGGCCAGATATCTATCTGCACCCTGTTCCTGCATCTATCATTGCTCCTTACACCCTCCGTCCTGGCTACACTCTGCACTTCCCTGCTCCTGCTCCCTTCTCCTGGCCAAACACCCTACTCCCAGCCTGCTTCTGCACCCTACTTCCCACCCAGACCTCACAATCTCTCCCCCTTCTGTACTCCACTTTCCTCCCAGATCTTGCACCCCGTTCCTATAACACTCACTGGCAGCCCTGTCCTGCTCATTGAACTCTCATTTTTGTCCCCACCCGAGAGCCTAAGGGGGTCCATAAAATCCACTAACTCCAGAACCCCAGAAAAGTAAATCTGGCCTATGGGAAGCCCTGAACCTCAGTCCTGCCAGTAGCTAAGAATGGCAACCGGATGGGTTACTTGATGATTATCTATTCTGGTTATTCTCTTTAAAGCACCTGGCATTGATTTTTGGAAAACAGGATACTGGGCTAGATGGATCTTTGATGTGACCTAGTGTGTCCATTTATTTATAATAAATCCACAGAAATGAATGTGCAACAGGTGCTGTTAGAAACCTGTCCCAAAATTCATTTTTCAACTGTTTGATGCAAATATGTATACACACTTCAAAGGATATTACTTGCACAAAAAAACAAAAAAACCAAACCCTTCTAGTACAAGAGCTTTAACTCTTCAATTTGAAGTTCCTTAGCAATGTAAAACTGGTCAGTTATGCTACACTGGCAGTCTTAAAAAATCAGTCTCAGCTTTTCTCCTGTTTCTTAGCTTGTTTATGAACATGTTAGATGACACTTGTCTGTGATCTATAAATTCATTTATTCTTTCTAGAATGCAGTACAGTCACTTATGTCTTTATTCTACAGGTGTGAAGATCTTAGCAGAATCCCTTCCTCGCAGAAATTCTTCTCTTCTTAAAGTTCAACTGGGTGGACTCTTTCTGCGAGATTTAGCAACAGAAGGGACTATATTTCCTGTTCTTGTCTTTCCTAATCCTGTAAGTAAAAGAATGCAGTTGCATCTTGATACAATACTGTTGCCATTTCAGGATTAATATAATTATTCAGAGCCTATTATTGGACTGAATTTAGCTTTGGAACAATGAGTGCTGCTGCTTAATTAGCTAGAGAGTTAGTTCTTGCTTTATTTCTCAAATCATTTCCCCTGCCCCTGAAAAACCTGGGTTCCTATGGAGGCCTTCCTTCATTTGCAGCTAGTTTTAGATTACAAACCTGGAATCTAGGAACTTTTCTTCTGGTATTATCACTGAAGAATGTAAGTGTTTCTACAAGAGGGGGATGAAAGATTTGATTTTGTTTTAGCCATGAAGACTTGAAGTCTTTTAACTATCATATTCTGATTTCACTTGCATTATAAAAGTGTCTGTAAGGAAAAACATTACTTTATTTGTGTAGTTACACTAAATAACTTTTTTTTCTATACGCTTATTTTCTTTTTTTGTGTGTTCTAATTAGCAAAAAGAGGTTGGCTGTGTCTCTTCCTTTGGTTTCCAAACTTCGTCTTCAGAAATGACTAATCAGAGCACTGGTAATAGTTTCATTTTTATGCCTGATCTGAATATGCAAGCATCTTATACATTTAAAAAAATACTATTAGTGAAATAAGTAAGCTAAACAATTTCAAAACCTGGTGCCTAACATTAGGATTTTAAATCCATGCTTGAACTCTTAACTTGCATAGTGACGCTTATTGGAAGTCAGTGGGGCTTTGCATGGGCTCAGAGATCCACCTCTGCAGAGCAGATTTGCAAGACTGTGTGGTTAAACTTTAAATAAATGGCCTAATGTTGATAAATTGAACTCAATAGGAACTGCAGAGATTCTGCCTCTTTGGAAATGAGATTGCTGCTTGAGTTAGAAACCTAATTTTAGGCTCCCAGTTGTTTAATTATAGATGCACACTGCCAGGAAGGGTGAGGAAGGAATTTCCCCCCAAGTCAAATTGACAGAGACCCTGGAAGGTTTTTGCCTTCCTCTGCAGTATAGGGTACAGTTCTGTTTCATGTAAGTGGATTGTCTGTAACTTTAAGTCTTTAAATCATGATTAGAGGACTCCAGAAATGGTCTATTACATGAGTGGGTGGATGACATTCTGGGACCTGCAATGGGTAGACAGTCTTGATTATCCCCTTTGGCTCTAAAATCTATTACTGTTTCTTTTTAAATTGAACTGCTTTTGGTGTACCAACATGAGCATATCCATTGTAATTTAAAATTTTCAAATGATATGGTGTAATTGTTCATCAAATATTAAACCCAAAATGCAAATAAAAAAATATTTTACTACTCCACACCAACTTTTCCTTTAAAGATATTTGTTAGATTTTTTTTTTGTTCTTTTGATTCAGATGCAGACCCTGATGCACCAGTATTTGAGATGCTGTATGAGAGAAACCCAGCCCGCAGCAATTTTGAGAGACGCCTGGAAGTCAGTACCAGACCTCTAAATATTATTTACAATCCACAAGCCATTAAGAAAGTAGCCGATTTCTTCTACAAGGGAAGGGTTCATACCTCAGGTTAACCTTTTTTGTTTTATATTTTTTTCATGTCTTCTTTATTTTCTCAAACTTGATTGATTTCTCATATTTAGTAAAGCAGCAATAAAAGTTTCCATTGTAAATACAAATAAAGAAATAGTGTGGAACTTCCCTTGATTTCTGTTGCAAAGAAAGTGTACCTTCAGGATATTCCTCTACACATCCACCTTTAATTTACACCTCTTGAAGATGCTACATTGTCACAATCTGTCCCTTTTTCAAATCTGTCTTTGCCAGTCCTGACTTGGTCAGGGAGTGTCTTCCTTATACCAACATCCCACATGAAGACGGATTACAAGCAATTAGAAACACTATCCCAGAGGACACTACTGCCAACCTGATAGCAGACCTATGTAACTTTGTTCTCACCCACAATTATTTCCGGTTTGAGAACAACTTATACCTCCAGATCAGCGGCACAGCCATGGGTACACGCATGGCCCCACAGTATGCTAACATCTTTATGGCTGACCTAGAACAACGTTTCCTCAACTCCCGTCCCCTTTCACCCCTCCTCTACCTACGGTACATCGATGACATCTTTATGATCTGGACACATGGCCAAGAAACACTGGAGATATTCCACAGAGATTTCAACAACCTACACCCCACCATCAACCTCAGCCTGGACCATTCTACACGAGAGATCCACTTCCTGGACACCACCGTACAAATCAACAATGGAAAATTAGACACCACTCTCTACAGAAAACCCACTGACTCATACAGTTACCTACATGCATCCAGCTCCCATCCAGAACACACCACACGATCCATCGTCTATAGCCAAGCCCTTCGATACAACCGCATCTGCTCTAACCCCACTGACAGAGACCAGAAGCTTCAGGATCTCTACCAAGCATTTATAAATCTCAACTACCCACCCAGAGAAACAAAAAAGCAAATTGAAAGAGCCAGACGAATACCTAGAAACCATCTACTTCAAGACAGACCCAAGAAAACCAACAATAGAACACCACTTGTCATCACCTACAACCCCCAACTTAAACCTGTCCAACACATTATCAATAAACTACAGCCTATATTGGAACAGGATACCATACTCAAAGAGGCTCTGGGAGACAGACCCATAGTCTCCTATAGACAACCACCTAACCTCAAGATGATTCTTACCAACCACCACAGGACATACCACACTAATACCAACCCTGGTACCTTCCCTTGCAACAAACCCCGTTGCCAGCTTTGTCCACATATTCATTCTGCTGATACCATTATTGGACCTAACCAAGTGAGTTATAAGATCAAGAACACATATTCCTGCGCATCCAGAAATATAATCTACGCTATCATGTGCCGAAAGTGTCCGTCTGCTATGTACATTGGACAAACATCTCAGACACTTCGCCAAAGGATTAATGCCCACAAAACAGATATCAGACAAGATCACAAAGAGAAAACAGTTTCTTGCCACTTTAACCAGAAAGGACACTCTCTAAATGACTTAGCCACCTGCATTCTGCTACAAAGACCTTTTACATCTGCACTTGAAAGGGAATCCTCTGAACTGTCATTCATGTTAAAATTCGACACTTACCACCAGGGACTTAACAAGTCTTTGAACTTTCTCACCCATTATCAAGACAGTTTCCCCAATTATCACCTGTAATACCATTAACTCACAAACATCCCACTCTCCCTACCTCTAATATCATCAATTCACAGACACTTACCTTCCTTCCTCCCCCTTCCCACCCCCCCGCCTCCTCCTTCTGTTCTGCAATGTGATTTGTCCTTTTCATATTTGTTCTTTTTTTTAATTGTATCCTTTGGTATATATGGTTGTGACTACTTTCTTCCACTATTTGATCTGAGGAAGTGGGTCTGGCCCACGAAAGCTCATCATCTAATAAACCATCTTGTTAGTCTTTAAAGTGCTACATTGTCCTGCATTTTGCTTCAACTACCCCAGACTAACACGGCTACATTTCTATCACTATTCCTTTTTACAGTTTTTGTGTCCCTTCCATAAGGACTTTTGTAACCCTTGCTTGACAGGAGGACTTAAGGCCTGAGTTTGAACTTTGTGTCAGCTGCCATTAAAACTTCAGCTGTGCATGTTTGCTTCTGGGGGTGGAAAGGATGTGAATAAGGAACAATAAATTATTCTTTTTGAGTCCTTAGTATTTGAATACTAATAGTTTGATAGCAGCAAGATGTGGGACAAGCCTAGTACAGAAATAGTTTTCCTTCCTTTTCACAAGATCCGAATATTCCTCAAGGGACAGGGATATAGTTAGGAAGGATTTTGGCTGCCTCGTTGCCCCTCTTATAAATTCCCCTAAGTACTTTCAGTCAGGTTTTGTTCAGGAAATTGAAATGGAAGGTGTGACCAGTCATAAAGTTCAAAAAAGAATTTAGAAATCCTTTGTTTGCTTAAAAGCTCTGTTTCTGGTAAGTAATCATTTGCAGTACAGTTAGTGTTTTTTTGGCTGTTATTGGCAACAGTCACTCCAGGTTATAGATACAATCTTTGGCTATCTATTTTCATGCGCTTTCCTGGCTTTTGTTTAATCTGTTAAAGATGAAAAAATTATAACTCTAGCTTATATTTTTAATGTTTTATAAATCACAGTCAATAAATACAAAGGTTCTCACTGCTTCTCCTTGACTTGGCCATACGTGAACAAAATTATACATATTCAGATTTGAATCTTTTGTGCAGGTTTTGGATATCAGTCTGAGCTGGAGGTGAGAGTGGCTGAAGCGGCTAGAAGACAGTACAACAAACTTAAAATGCAGACAAAGGCTGAAATCAGGCAAACGATTGATCGTTTACTAGTGGGAGATTTCATTGTAAGTTTTTTTTTTTTTTCTCTAAAAATTGCATTGAGTTTTGTTTCCTTGCCTTTGATTTTGGTTGCTGAAACACTGAAAGGCTCCTCGGAGATCCCCAGATTTCAAGTTCCCGTTGAAATCGGTAGAAGCTGTTGGGTGTTGCTCTTTTTTGAAAAATGTATGTAGTAGTCATCCTGCAGTGAAGAAATCCAATTTTTCAACGCAAACAAACACAAAAGTAGTGAGTGGCTGAGCAGTTCTGTCCTGTTCTTGAGCTTGTGAGATGATTTCATACTACCTCCTCACTGGCTCTAATATGCAATAGCAGTCTGTACTTTCATCAAAGCTACTATATCATATGACTCACTTAAAGGATGTTTCCTAAGTTTGTTGTTTCACCCATTCTCAGAAACTTCTTTGCCTTTCTTATAATTAAAGGGTAATAGTATTAGTAATTTACATGTGATACGTTTCTAAGGCTCTTTTCTTTGAGAAGAAAATAAGTGGGCTCTGATATTTTTTCATAAAACATCAAATTCATGTTATGCTTACCCACGTAACCTAATATCATTGGAAATTTGCTATTTGAGATTTATAATTTGTGTAGGATTGATTCTTGCATTGGTTTTGTAATGAGAAGGAAAATATTCCTATTGGAGTATGCTTTTACTGTATTTCATTTTATTTTATTTTATTTTCAGGAAGACAGCAAACGTTGGACAGTGTACCTCAATATCTCTGCCCCTCAGGTGATCTTCCCTGATGATTTCAGATTTGTGGACCCAGTGTTAGTAGTACTGGATCTGGGGAGAATATTACTTACCAATTCCCAAGGTATGGCCTGGAAATAAACTGTACTGTCTGTCTATATAAGGTAGAAACATATTTGTTCTATTCTAGCATTCTTTGCCTGGACACACATACAGTTTTACTAGTATTAACAGCATATTTATTGAGATTTTTTTAAAGGTAGGGTGATAGACTTTAGTCCAGGGTTGGGGGTGTGGGAGACCTTTTTTGGGTCAGTCGGGGGAGCCACATGTAAGTGAAAAGCAAAAAAAAAAAAAAAAGTCTCTTAGATTTGGCCCTCCACTAATAAGCAGGAAAAAAAAGGAGCCACACTCATTTACTTTGCAGCTTGCACTCCAGCCTCGTTGGGGGCAAGGCTTAGGGTAGGGGTGGGGACCCCAGATCCCGGGGGCTGACTGCAATCCCCGGCTTGCCTGAATCCAGCCCCCAAGGCTCATCATTGGGGAGCCCATGCTGGTGCTTCAACCCCCCTGCCACTCACTCACAGGACTGGAACACACAAAATCTACTAGTCTGGCCCCCTCTAGGCTCTCGTGTGCAAGGAAAATGTGGGGAGTGTCGTTGTCGTCTTCTCAGTCAGGGGCTTCTCACTTTTCCTCTCACTTGTGTGCAGCCCCTGACTGATTTTTCTGTGGGTCAGCGGCCCCTGACCCAAGAAGGGTTTTTTACCCCTGGCTTAGGGCTATCCCCCAGGGCCAGTTGAACTCTTCTGGAGGTTTGGGGCTTGTGGATTTTGTGGAGCCCCACTAGGCTCTGGTTTGGTCTTAAAAATGCGAGGTTCAGTGTGTGGGAGGGGGCTACCAGGGAGCATGGTGGTGCTGCAAGGTCTGGCCAGGAAGAAGGGCGCAGGACAGGGCAGGGGGTTTGGGTTCTGGACGGGAGGGAAGGTGCAGAAGTGGGCTGGGTTTGGAGGTCTGGGCAGGAGGGAGGATGCAGGAGCAGGTTTGGGTGGGAGGCACAGAGTTTGTGGGCACCTTCCACCTATCTGGTGCAGCTTCGGGGGGAAGATGCAGAGCTACCTGTGCCTTTTCCCCAACCTGCAGTAGTGGGCACTGCCCAATCTTCTTCCATTGGCTGGGATTCCCTGCCAATGGGAACAGGGTAGGGCTGAAAGCCAGCACAGGGGACAGAGTTGCCCTGCACTGCCATTCCCAGTGGAGAGCTATTTCCTCCCCTGCCAGGCAGAGCCAACCATATCTTTCCGGGATTCACCCTACGAGGCTAGGGACGCCCCCTACCATCTGAAGACTGAATAGGGCTGTTCAGATCTGTAACCTGTGTGTCTGGCACATTTGGGAAACTGGGAGTGCTTATCACAGGGAATTGGAGGAAAAAAGGCTTAGAAACAGAGATATGTCTAGAATCTTCTGAAATGGCTGTCTCAGAGAAAGCATGTTTTGAGGATGTTCTCCAAAATGTGGAGCCCTGTGACACTACCCTAGGGCTAATCTAGGAAGAGTGGGAGAAAATGTATTTTCTTGTTTAGTATCCAATAAATAAAACAATTTATTTTATAATTAAGCTTAACTCATAGTGCCAGTAGTAATGTACAAAAAATAAAAAAGGAGCTCAAACACTATAAAAAAATTAAGTTATGTGAACCAGAGTTGCTTAAAATACTGTCTAGCTAATCATAGAATCATAGAATAACTGTTATTACATTGGATTCCTCTCTTTACTGTTCATTTTTGAAAATGAAGCCATGTGGCCATAAAAAGACCAAGTTTTAATGTCTGCTCAGTAGAAAATAGCATGAGACTGATAAACTCTGCAGCCCTGGGGTATAATTCTGGTCCCACTGAAGTTAATGGGACTTCTGCCTTGACAGAATTTCACCCTCAATGATACCTTAGAGATATCATTCTACCTCTTTCTAGCATATCGACAAACCAATTTCTGCAAGATCTTCACAGCTTTTTTTAGTAACTGCTATGTTATCAACTTAAACAACAAATAGTATGGTAGCACTTTGAAGACTAACAAAATAGTCTCATGAGCTTTTGTGGGCACAGCCCACTTCTTCTAATGACCAGAGTGTTGTATGTCCGGAATCAAAAACCTATGTTGTTAGATTGAGCTGGGCAAATGCTGTGTAAGCTATTTCCAGAACATCCACTTGGGTTCCCTAGTAAGTTTATAAAGGAATTAGATTCTTTTGAATGACATGATTTTTCTCTCCTTTCAAGGTATCAAAGGTGGAAATTTGCCAGATTAATTGCCTTTACTGATTCTTGTCTATGGATAGTAAAGTTGATTTACCTATGTTGTTAGATTGAGCTGGGCAAATGCTGTGTAAGCTATTTCCAGAACATCCACTTGGGTTCCCTAGTAAGTTTATAAAGGAATTAGATTCTTTTGAATGACATGATTTTTCTCTCCTTTCAAGGTATCAAAGGTGGAAATTTGCCAGATTAATTGCCTTTACTGATTCTTGTCTATGGATAGTAAAGTTGATTTGGTACAAATGGGGCTGACTTCAGTGGCCCTTGAATCAGGCCAGAAGCATTGTCAGATACATCAGTTCAATAAAGTGAAAAATGTTTTCCTCTAATCTCCTTCAGTAATAGTAAAATAATGTAATTGTAATATATAATTGAATAACACAAAATCACAGAACTTTAATTTTTTTTAAATTGAATTTTAATATGTTATGTGTGTCACTTTTGTACCACCTATAAGAAAGAGTGGTAACTTTTCTTTTTGCTTTCTTCTTTTATCAAAACTAGTGCTAAGCGACAGAGTATTTCCCCTGACAATTTCTTAACCTTTGTTTAAAATCAAAATACAGAATAAGGTCAGTGTTTTATAAGTAACCAAAGGAAAAGAATGTGTGAGTTTGATAAATCCCTCCTTCTTAATTTGCAGATGAGTCTAAAATGAAGAGTATTGATGGTTTATTGTCAGAGGTCAATGAACTGAGTGATGATGAATATAAAACACCCCTAGCAACTCCTCCCAATACGCCACCTTCTGAGTCCACCACAAGTTGTGGAATCAAAACTTCTGAATTGGCTGGAATAGAGATCAGTGAAGAGCAACTACAAGCACACTTAATGAGTAAAAAAATGTATGAAAGATACACATTGTCATTTATGGATCTTCAGATTATGGTTGGTCGAGTGAAGGATAACTGGAAACATGTTCAGGATAGTGTTGTGGGTCCAACTCACGTGGTAGAAAAATTTAATGTTCATTTGCAGTTGGAGCGCAGACTGATATACACATCTGATCCAAAATACCCAGGGGCTGTCCTGTCTGGGAATTTACCAGACTTGAAAATACATATCAATGAGGATAAAATATCAGCTTTGAAGAACTGTTTTGCAAGGATGAGTACATCTGAAACTAAATGTGCAGATGTGTTGCATATCGGGAAAGAGAAGTCCTGTTGGGAAAGAAGATTTTCACAGAGGTGGACCAGCACGGAAGTTTGCATGATTCTGTAATGAATTTAACACAGAGCGTAATGATGGTTGAACAGCATACTAGAGAGGTTCTTGTAGAGTCTCAACTTCTTTTAGCTGAATTTAAAGTTAACTGTATGCAGTTAGGTGTTGAAAGCAATGGGCGCTATATCTCTGTACTTAAGGTTTTTGGCACCAATGCCCATTTTGTGAAGAGGCCTTATGATGTAGAAGTGTCACTAACTGTTCATGGTTTGCTACTGGTTGACACTATGCAAACATATGGCTCCGATTTTGATCTTCTGATGGCTTCTCACAAGAATCTTAGTTTTGATGTTCCGACAGGAAGTCTTCAAGATGATAGGGCACAGTCTCCTATTTGTGGACCAAATGAAGCCTATCCAATTAATGTGGCCAATTTGACAGAGAAATGTGCTGCATCCTCAAATACTTCATCTGGTAATTACGCAAAAGATCAAGAATCTCTGATTAAATTGGAATATCAGTTTGTGAGTGCAGAATGTCCATCAATGAATTTAGATAGCACAGTCCAAGTGATATCCGTGCAGGTGAACAATTTGGATATCATTCTTAACCCAGAGACAATTGTTGAGCTGATTGGATTTCTCCAGAAATCTTTCCCAAAGGAAAAAGAAGAATCTAGCCCTCAACCTTTAATGACTGACTTGGAAAGAAATTTCAGGGGGCAGGAAACCTTTCAGTCTACCTATGCACGAAATATAGATGTAGAAGTGGACATTCACTGGCTAAATATACTCCTCCTTAGGACAGTTGGAATGGCAAACGGAGAAAAATATGGCAGGAAAATTGCAACAGCAAGCATTGGCGGCACCAGAGTTAATGTCTCTATGTGTAGCAAGTTGGAAGTAAACGGCTCTCTTGGCTGCTTGCGCCTTATGGATCTGACACAAGATAACATTAAGAGCCAGTATGTTGTCAGCATAGGGAATACAGCAAGGTATGAAAATCTCATCAGTGATACTGGCTACTTTGAATCTATGTTTGCCAGGCCTGAAGATGAAAGTAGCCTCTCAGATGCTTTAAGCTTCAATTTCACAGAGCAATCAAAAGAAGAATGTTCCCTGAATCTCAAAATGGCTTCTTTACATTACAACCACTCAGCTAAATTTCTGAAAGAACTAACTTTATCTATGGATGAATTGGAAGAGAATTTCTGCAGCATGCTGAAGACAGCAGCCACAAAAGTTACCTCTGTTCTGGCAACTAAAACTGCTGAGTACAGTGAAATGGTTTCTCTCTTTGACACAACACCACGGTCAAGAGATCTTTTCAATTTAGAAGATAATGAGGAAGATGGGTTTGGATCATCATCTCTCAAAATTGATACCATTAAACTTATCTTAAATGTAAATGTTGAGTCGCCAATTGTATCAATACCTCGCAAGCCAGGTAGCCCTGAACTGCTTGTAGGACATCTAGGGCAAATATCTATTCAAAATTTTGTGCCAGGAGATGACGAGTCTAGAAGTGACAGACTGCAAGTTGAAATTAAAGATATTAAAATGTATTCTTTAAATAGCAACCAGTTTATGGTCAGGAAAGAGCCTACATGTGAGATGACTCATGGGGTGCACTCTCCTTCAGGTAGTGGCAGTGTTACTAGCCAAGAGGAATCCAACTTTACTCGTCATGATTTTTTTGAGTCATTACATAAAGGTCATGGTAAGTACCATGAAAAACTCTGATCTCTTCTTTTTGCCTGGAACGTATTATTAGCATGGGGTGTATTTGAATAAATCAGTCTGATCTCTTCTTTTTGCCTGGAACGTATTATTAACATGGGGTGTATTTGAATAAATCAATCTCTTTTTTTTTTTTTTTTTGAGGGAGGGAGGGAGGGAGGGACTTTTCCTAAAATGTGCTGTTTGGAAATTTAATTACAATGTGGACAAATAATTTGTATCCAGATTTTGCAATACTAATCTGAAAATTCAGTAGTTGCACCCATGCACAGCCTTGCTAAAATATAATCAGAGCTACAGTTTTTAAATATGTTTTAGTACAACTAAAGATTCACAATTAGATCAGCAAAAGTAGAATTATGTTGTCTTTTCCGGGGTGTGCTTATTCAGTCAGTTTTAGTCTCCAGGTTAATCATGTATTCGGTGGGTGGTGAGATTTTTTAAATTTTATTTTAACTGTTATATTTTGGTATGATGTGGTTAGTATTTAATAATGTAGATGTTGGGCATAAAAATGTATGTTGTTCTTTTAATAACAGCTTTTCACATTCTGAACAACACCACTATCCAATTTAAATTGGAAAAGATCCCAGTAGACAGAGATTTAGAGTTGACATTCCCTTTGAGCAATGAAGACCTTGGAATATCAAGCATTATGAGAATTGAGGGGAAATTTGTCAATCCCCTTCAGGTATGATACTTTAATATTTACCAGTATAAATCTATGTTAGCCATTTTTTTGCTGAGCGACTTTTTTGATTATATAGAAGAACAGTGTAAGGGACTGAGTTGTTTAGGGTACTGAAAAATGGAATACAGAGCTTTCTTCCTCCAGATTTCCAGTCTAAATCTAACCCAGGACGATGCTGTCCAGAAGTTAGTATCATAAAGCATTTTGGTAGTCTGCCTGAAATATGTTGATGCTGTCTCATTCCTAGTCATCCTCCAGCTACATCACCAGAACACCCACTACAGTTGTCCTAATTGGCATGCTTGTTAGGAATCTCAGTAAAGGTTAAGGATTGAAGGACACTAGAAAGTATCCTTTCATCCCATATCGTTTCCCCAAAGTCAAGGTATTTTTCAGGTGGGAAGCATATACAGGCAGTCCCCGAGTTACGTGGATCCGACTTACGTCGGACCCGCAGTTACGAACGGGGTTTGCTGCCCGTCTCCCTGGTCTGCTGGAGACCAGCAGACCAGGGAGACGGGAAGCAAAGCCTCTGAGGACGCCAGCAGCGGGACAGCCACGGCGCGTCTGGGCTGTCCGCTGGCCAGGTGCTCCCCGGCTTTGCTCCCCATCTCCCTGGTCTGGGGAGACGTGGAGCAAAGACGGAGCATGCGGGCAGCAAACAGCCCAGACGTGCCGTGGCTGTCCCGCTGCCAGCGTCCTCAGAGGCTGGGTCCCACGCCCCCCCAAAACAGGGGGCATGGG